GTTGGGGTCTTGGGCGTTACTGTATTCAATGTTCCATGGATCACCCGTAGTCCAAGCGGGTTGTGTGCCACGGAGCTGAGGTCACCTTGAAGAACAAGCAGCGACTGCCTCTGTGGAGCCATTCCAGGTGTTCGGTGTTGAAGCTCAGCAGTAAAATGAGTGTTTTCCTGCGAGCCGCCTTCCCGGAGCTGTTAAACCGACTGCAGGATCGGAGGGAAGCTGCTGGATTGGCTAAGACACTGCGGCACAGGGAGTCACCTCTTGGCTCCTGCTGGGCTCAGATGCACGCAGAGCAATAGGTGTGCAGTAAACAGCCAGGTAGGAAAGAGCAGCAGGGAGAGAAACTTGTATCTTCTGGCTTGTAGATCAAACAAAGACGGAGAGCAGAGCTGCAGGAAATGAGAACCAGGACTCTGCAAACCTGGTTCAACACTAAACAGTTCAAAGTGTGCGTGTAAACTGGCCTTGGAGAGGCTCGAGTATCCATGCAACAAGTGCTGCTCTTGGCTGGGGCTATGTGCAAGCATTCGGGTGTTTTTTCTATTGAGAGCAGACCTTTAGCTGGAGTATTGTTAGTTACGGATAATCTTTATTCATAGCAGTGCTAGATCAATGTAAAAGGTGCAGGGCAGCCAGCAAGGGGTGGTAGCAGGAGGCTCTGGAGCAAGGACGTGCGCGTGGGAAGGCGGCAAGGCCGACACTGCCGATTCCCAAAGCTCTGAACTGCAAACCTGGAAATTGGGGTGACCAATTTAACCTTGAACATGTTCATTTGACTTTTCTTTTTTTATCCCCCTTTAGGGCTGAGAGAACTGAGGTGCTTAGTGAAGACCTCTTGCAGGTACTGTGACTCCATTAATATATATTTTTAATGTTCTTTAAACAGTTTGAGCCTTCTGAATTTTATGGAGTGCCTATTGTGGGGAAAACAATTGCCCTCAACAGGGATGAAAACAAAGATATATTTGGCTCTGACTTCTCTGCATGCGGAAAAGCTATGATATAGTTTGAGTGAAAAGCTAAAGTACTTTTTCTAAAATCCCATGCTAAGCCTTGATAAAAGCAAAAAGCTTTATCCTTTATTTAACTGATCTAGCTTGGTAAACTTCAGGGCCGCTAGCACTAACATGGAGTGTTAAAGTGGAAGCAGCTGCTTTTATTATAAATTCTTCCAACTGATTGGATTGAAGTAGAAGAGGGAAGGAATGTTCCGGCTTAAAACTTGAATTTAGTGAAAAATACTTGAAATAATCTTGAGTAATGGCTAAACGAGCAGAACTGAAGCAGTTTAGCCTTCTGTCCAGGGGGCTGCTTTATTTAACACACAAATACTGAGCAGTTTGGCAATATGAGCGACAATTTCTTAGAGAAGCTTGCCGTTAAGTGGTGTGAGGGATGTTAAAACACCTTGATAGCCTTTAAGGGCCCATATGTTTTCTTGCTTAGCTGCAGAATAGTAACAAGAAGTGAAAGCCAAAAGCTCTGCTGCTTGTTGCCAAAAAATTTTTGCAAGCAAGGCTTTCCCAGGCACAGAGAGCCTGGCTACACCCAGATGGAAGAATTTACTCACTTGTTTGTTTGCTCTCGGGGGCTCGTGGAGGGGAGGCAGCTTCTTATCTAACTAAATGGCTTAAAAGCTTGGTACTGTTCACTTCATAAACATGTTTTCGACAGTCCTTTCTATGTTTAGCTTGAGCTTTGCCATAGGGCTGCAGTAGCTTTTTCTGTTTTGTGGAGTGCAGTCTTCCCTTCACGTGTATCTCCGTGTGCTCCTGCCCAAAAGGAGGGATGCACCGAGCAGGACTGGAACGGCGTCTGCAGTAAACCCCCTTTCTGGAAGGAGCTTATGGTGCATAATAACCCAGTTGTATAATGCTCTGTGCCCTGGAGGCCTCCTGTGGGCATGGACAGGGCCTCCAGGTCACCTTTTTCACACTCAAGGCAGCTTGACGGAGGTGAACGTGCCTCGTGTCCTCCTGCTGTGTTTGAGCTGCTGCGGGAGGAGCGTGTGATGGGGAAGCCGTGCATAGGGCTGCTTCTGTCGCAGCCATGCCCTGCTATTTGGAATTCAGACCTCTGGAAAAGAGGCCGTCGGGAACGCGGCTGCTCCAGGGCGTTCCCAGGGCACCGCCAGCCTGGGAGCCGCTCCGCGCTCCCGGCGCCCGGATGTTCCCGGGCTTCAGCCGTGCAGGAAAACAACTGCCCTTAGCGTGGTCCGGCCCAGCTAAACGACCTTGCAGAAATAAATGTTTTCAGAAATAGGGGATGGTTTAGAGTGTTTTGGTTTGTCTTTAATCTTAGCACAGCAGAAACCCAGCTGCAACATTACATGTGAAACGGGACTTCTTGTTCCTGTATCTTTATACAGGCCTCTTAAAATGGACTTAATTTTGAGATTGTTCCTATGTGTTCAGTAAACTAAAACCAATGCAGTTCTCTCCAGTCTGCTATAATACTTTTTACTGAGCTTCTTGAGCAGCTGAGTTTGGGTTAGTTTTTATTGCTCTCGGGAGTGTTTTGTCCCTGTAGGGTCTCATGGAGCCAGTGAGATTTCAGTCCTCCTACACCGGTTCTGTTCTAGCATCGCTTCAGACTTCAAGGTGCTGCCCTAAACTCCGGCAGCTCCTGAGCGTGGATTTTGGAGCTCTGCAATCTGGCACCTACCAGAAGAGCAGCTTCCCTTTTCCGGAACGTCAGGAAACACGGGAGCCCGGCCGAGCATTCACTCCGTGTTCCCATGTGGGACAGCAGTGATTCCGCGCTGCTCCTCACCCGCTTCCTCGTCTGCTTCTGCTTCTCTTTCTTGGCAGCCTCTTGGCAACCTTTTTCTTCCCAACTTGTCTGTCTGCATCTGATTTTTTTGCTACCTGTGTTTTTGACTAGCTGACCTTGTTGGGACTTAGTTAGATCCATCCTTCTGTAGCCGCTTTAGGAGCATACCCAAGGGGAACCCCCTGCTATTGCAGCAAGCAGAGTCCGTGAGCGCCAAGTAAACCTTTTAGGAGGAAAAAACAAGTCATCCTGCCTGGTGGTATAGGACTGGCAGGGAATGGCAGCGTTTCTGGCTTCCTTAGAACACGGCAATTTGCTGCTTGTGGAAGAACCAGCTGCTGGTTCACTGCCTTCCCTACAGCCCGTTGCTCTTGGGGAACGAACGCAGTGCGGGACGATTCAGCTCACACTAACATCACCCTGCGTGTCAGAGCTCATCTCTGTTTATTCATGGATAGGAAACCCGAGGAGAATTATTGTCCTCCTGGAAACTTAACAAAAGCAATTTTAGAGCAGTACTGAGAACTGGAGCTTGCTCAGATTAATTCTGCAGATGAAAACTATTTGGGGATTTTTTTCCCCCTTTTTTTAATATAAACCATTCCAAAGGGCTTCCTTTTAATCGTGGTGAGTCATCAAAATGCAGATCAACTGCATTCCTTGGCTGCGCGCAGGAGCTCTGCCACACGCAGTCCGTCCCAGCGCTCGTGCGCGCAGGAGCTTGTTTGCTTTTGGTGTGTTTCCCGAAATAAAATAGTTCCTTACCTCGAATCCCTTAAAAGAGCAGTTTATTAATGCATATCTGTCACGTTCCTATTGCATATCGTGAGTCGTGTTTCAGATTACTTTATGGTAAACTGGACTCCTGTTTGTGCACTGCTACTGCCCTTTTCCTTCCTCATCCCTCCTGAATCCTATTAGTTTCTCCTCAAAGATACTGGCGCATGTAGGAACTTTTTTTTCTTGCGTGTAATAGCCAGAGAAGAAAACCTCATCACAGACTTGAAACACGTAGGCTTGGGCCAACACAAGGAACCAGTAACATTTGTCTTAGCCTTATACTTTACGGTATGATAGTGAAGGAATATTTTTTTTTTTTTGGCGTTTTCTCCCTGGATTAGTGTTTTAGGTATATGCCTGGTCCATCCATCACAGACTCCAGGTGACAAGTATCAAACTGACTCTTGCTCTTGCTGTGACAGAGCGGGGGGAGACTTTTCTCCCTCTCCTGTTCTATAGTGCTGTGGGCTATAGAACGTTTGGAATGTTTCTGAGAACAAAATCAGTTCAAATCTTTCAAATGCATTTGCTGCTTGGCAGTTCTGCCAAGGGTCTGAACTCCTTGTAAGCTTGAAAAATATGCAAGCCAAGACCAAACGTGATACAGAAGGAAGACTTTCTGCTGAGGCCAAGGAAATAACTTCTGGTTTTTGTTTTTCTTTTTCTCCTCTTCCTCCTCCCACAAACTAGATCGAGAGACGCCTCGACACAGTGAGGTCTGTGTGTCATATTTCACAGAAGCGATTAATCGCCTGTTTTCAGGGCCAGCATGGCACAGATGCGGATAAGAGACATGTAAGTACTGCTGCTCTTTAGCTGGTCATCTTAGACTCGGCTGAATCCCACCTGTGTTTGCATCCCAATCCACCGCTGTGCCTTGTATTGTCCAAGAGAATAAAACTCCGTAGAGCCCCCTCGTGTGCCAGCGTTGGGTGGAGCGCTCGCCGTGCTGCGCCATCCGCGTGCAGGAAGCCGAGCGTGTCGGGACGCTTGCTCCTTTGTGCAGTGTGCTGAGTGCTCGCAGCTTCCCCAGACCCACCTCAGAAAAGAAGATTCTCCAGAACTCAATCAGGTTTCTCCTGTTTAGAATTGCCTGTGTGCATTGATGGCCAAAACTGAGCCGTCTGTTTCTATATGTGTGATTGATTTCTGACCCTTATCCTTCTTTAGGAAAACCATAGAAAAGGCTTTTAGAAATTGTTAAAACCAAAAATGACTAACCCTCAGGCTTTCTCCTTTTAGTGGTAAACGGTCCTTCTGAAAATACGGGGACAAAGAATTAACCTCTGCGGAGGTGAATGACAAACTACTTCAATTTCAAGGAAAAGCTGTTTAGTTGTCTGTGACTAAAGGCAGTTTACGTTTTGAGGTACTCATTCGTGAGAAGTGAGAAGAAAGTGTTTTTAAAAGGATCTGAGAACAAGACTCTTGAGAACTGCTATTCAAGAGGTGTGATAAATAGGCTTGAAACTTCTTGTGACTTGGCATTTTCTTAAAGCCAAAGAATGAATTGGATATGTACATAATAGAAACTGTATGGAGAAGAAATTAGAGGCAGGTTGGAAATTTGGAGAGCTAGAGATGCTGAGTAGCATTAAGTAAAATAAGCACTGTTCCTTCTGTTCACAGAAAAAGCTTCCTCTAACAGCTCTTGCTCAAAATATGCAAGAAGGATCTATCCAGCTGAGTGATGAAACTCTGTTGGGGTAAGTGTCGGCCTTCGTTAGAACTGCAGTCTGCCATTTCCTTGTCTGCACAGCTACAGAAATGGAGCTGCAAAAAGACAGTTTTCCTGCAAAAGAATCTAGGCTCCTTCTTGAATCCTTAGGAAGAAAAAGTGAGCAAACATTTCTTTTTGAGTGATTCTGGGCAGGTTTTATGCTTGCTCTGAATTGTATTCCAGAGGATTCTGAGTCTTTCCACTGTTCAGAAAGAACCTAAGTTATCTATTGTAAAAGCCTTTGAAAATGCCCTTTTTTTAGTACATTAGCAAAGTGTTTGTTGTCTCCATTTGAAATGTAACCTGCAGTATGAGCACTGCGTTCTGCAGCTCTGTGTTAATGGCTCCAGGCCTAGGATAATGCCCGTTCCCAGGTGCTGGCTAAGTGCAGCTTTGCAGCGTGCAGGGAAGCGTTGGGAGGAAAACAACATGGAAACCTGGAATGGCAGCACGAATGTGCTTCCCTGCTGCTGATGGACGCAGCGTAGACTGCCCGAAAAACCTGTGTGTGCATGTTTGTGAGCTGTTGCAGGAGGTTTATATAGCGATAACAGCCCTAAAGCAAATAAGGTTTATCTTTAGAACAGACTTAAAACAAAGGTCAGATCAAGAATTTGGAACCTGAGGCTGCATGTGCGACTGTTGAGCTTTGTGGTGTTAAGAGACTTTTTCAAGTTAAAGAGACTTGAGGGAGAATTCCATATTATCTTGATCAATTTTCCTGTGTCTGGTAAGATGGAAGAATGGCCTTTGAAATAAATTCCAACTTTCCTATTCTTAGGGCCAGTATGAGAATTTTTAATGCCACCAGAAATATATAAATAGTGGTTATAGAATCCTTTAAGACAAAGGCTTAGTAACACTTTTCAGCTGTCCTATATTTTGCAGTGACAGCAGGAAGGCATCTTTTATGCCATCAAAGCTTTGCTTTATACAAAACACTGTTTCACAGGGGTAGCAGAGGCCACAGGACACAATTATTTTTGAATGTTTCTTCCTTAGTCGATAATAGTTAATGTTACAACAGCTTTCTATAATTTTTAAAGGAAAATGCTAGATACATGTGGTGAAGCCGAGAATAAACTGGCAATGGAACTCTCTCAGCATGAAGTACAGATCGAAAAAGAGATTTTAGATCCACTGAATCAACTGACAGAGGTAAGGCACTTCCCCCAACAGAGCAAGTCTGGATTCGTGTATAAACTAAGCACAAGGGTTTATCTCAATGTTAATAGTGGAACGGTTTGAAGTAGTCGTGCACTAACGCTGAAAAGTGAGTCTGAAATCCACAAAAATCTAGTAATTGTAGTACACAGGTTGAAAATAAACACAAGCCTTCATTTCTGCTTCTAGTCAGAGATCCCTAACATTCAGAAGCAGAGGAAGCAGCTTGCAAAGCTGGTGTTGGACTGGGATTCGGCAAGAGCAAGGTAAGAAGCAATTTTAATAGTTGTTCCCTAATCATGTTAACCTCTTGTTGGCATCTCATGGTGTCTGATCTGATGCTGGTATTTGTCTCAAAATGCTGCTGTACATCTGTCAATATTTACATCATAAATAATTGAAAGCTATCTCACAAATGGCAGTTTGCACACCCTAGGAAGTTCTGCTGGGGAAAACCTCTGAAACTGTTGGGTTTGTTTCATATCAAAATAAATCAGTTTTAGAAGGGACCCGTAGATGCAGTTTCTTTTGAAATAACAGATTTCACTGAACGACTAAACCTTCCTTCCACAGGTATAACCAAGCCCACAAGACTTCAGGAACAAATTTTCAAGTGCATCCTTCAAAAATAGAATCTCTCAAGGAAGAGATGGATGAAGCTGGAAATAAAGTAGAACAATGCAAGGTAGGAAATAAATCCTGTGCTTTACACACCTCTCAGGAGCAATTGTAGCAAACAGTGGGGTTGGTTCTATAAACCTTGCTTATGCACCTGGCTCTCTCATTAGCATGCTTGCAAACTAACGGGTTGTTAACAAAATGTATGTCTTGAAGCTATCGTTAGAGCTGGCTGAACTTTGTCCAAATTGCTTTAACTTGCTGAGAAACCTTGTTTTTGAAGATGCCTGTGTTACATTATTTGCCTTGCCTCAGATGGTCAGGGCGTCTGTGTGCTTGTCCATGAACATGACTATATGGCACATAGTTCATTTACAATTTACAATTCTCAATGGTCAAATAGAGTGTTTTGCTGCAGCTCCCAATACCTTTTAGTAGTATTTGTCTTTGCATGCAAGGATTGACTATATTATAATACATTGCCATGCAATCCAATTGCTGACTTCATTGAGCAACTTCCTTAGTATATAAAACAATGCTAAGCAAAAATAATTCAGAATGCTTGAAAGAAAATGACTTTTTAAAAGCATCCTGCTAACTGTTCAGAAGTGAACTCCCCTCTATTGCCTCGATGCTGTACCTTGACTGTAACTTCACAGTGCACATTCCTTCCCTGCAAGTAGTAGCACATATATTCTGTGTTAATATGGACACCTGGATAGATGGGGTGTTCTTAGACAGCCTTCTCTGCTTTCAGCCCTACCATGAAGAGCTGCAGCTGCTACTGGCTCAGCTCATAAGCCTGTTTGGAGTCTACTCCCGTGTGTGTATAGAGTGGGTGGATTACAGGCTTTGTGCTGCCTGAATCAATAGTTCAAATTGGCTGCCAGCAAAATAAATGTATGTGGTTTTCTCTCAGCATGTAAGTTATAAATGTAATGTTTTGCACATCCCCCTTTTTTTTCTTTCTTCAAAGGATCAGCTAGCAGCAGACATGTATAACTTTGTGTCCAAAGAGGGGGAATACGCTAAATTCTTCGTTATGGTGAGTATTCTTTTTTGATATCACTGATTCCAGCATTTATGTGCATAGACACACATTCCTCAAAGTTTACATTTCGTGTACTAAACCTTCTAGCATTGTATTATATGTTCATCAGAAGCTAATGCTGTTTTTGTTTTTTAAAATGTGGCTTCTGTTCTCAGTTGTTAGAAGCACAAGCAGATTACCATAGAAAAGCATTAGCAGTCTTAGAAAAGGTCCTCCCCGAAATTCAAGCCCACCAAGGTAAAGTACCTGTGCTCTGGCTGATGCTTCTCCTTGCCTGTGCCACCTATGCACAATACTCTCTTCCTTTATCTCGATTCTTTTGCATGCAGACTTCTTTCTTAAGGCCATTTTGATCTACCTAACAATTTTGCATTCACAAACATAATTCCATCTTTGCTGCATCTTCTGGAGTTCTCCAGTCATATTTTAACACACTAATAAAATATTAAGGATCTGTCTGATGCCCAAGAGGGCAAAGGAAGGATTTTTGTTTCTTTTGTGCTCTTGTTCTCTCTTTCCTTGATATCATGTGGCCTTTTGTTAATTCATTCCTGGCTCTTCAGGGCAATGAAAATTTTCTGGTGAATTAGGAATTGTAAGATCCTTGTTTCTTAAATGATTGCTAGGGGCTATCAGGAAACCTCCCCAAGTTCAGTGGAGTTGACCGTGCTGTCCCTTTGCCTCGCACACATCAGGTTGCGGAGCTGGGCAGGTACCGGGTGGCAGAGCAGTGTCAGGGCACCCCGCGGGGCTGCTGGCTCTGAGCAGGACTTTGAGCTGAGCCTGAGACGGCTGAGCCTGAGCTCAACGAGGCTCCAGAGCATCTAGGCAAGTTGGAACAACTGAAGCTGGAGATACCGAGAAATATGAGAGTATTGATGAAAGATAGTGTTGAATATCTGTGCTGTATACATCTGGTGGGAGGGAAGCTACCGCAGGGAAATCGTGCTTACCCACCTCAGAAGGGCTTTAGGGCTGTCTGGTAGGTTCTCTGTTTACAGGGTGCAGAGCTGACTGGGCTAGATCTTATTTCTTAGCTGCTTGGCACAAAGCTCTTCATGTGGTGAGGGTTGCAGAAGAGGTTGTCGTTTTTAAAAGACATAGTAGGAGGCAGCGCACCCAGAATCTCACACGAGCTCAGTTATGTTTCTACCTGGAATATAAGTGACTTTGTGCTCTCTCTTCCTAATGTTGCTGTATCTCGCAAAACCTCTCCACAGAAGAAATAAGGCATCTGAACTAACAATAACTTATTCACGTCTGCATTTTTCAATTAAAATAGCAGAAAAAACTTGGGAGGGGAAGTCGCTCATAGGCAAGAGGGAATGTACATGCCATTTAGAGAAGCACTTGCACCATTTTTGACTTCCAAACTAATCAATAATTAAGAGAAATTGAGTTGGAAAAATCATGAAATTGGTACAGTGATGGGCTGTTAACATGGCAGTTCTAATGCAAGACATAGGGTTTCTTTAAATTGTCCGTAAACTCTGTTAACTAAATATTCGGTATATTTTATGCGTATGTATCTGTGCTGAATACAGTTAAAACTTTAAGAAAGGCCCAAGTTATGCAATGTGGGCAGAACTTGCTCCAAGGTTACCGCAGAGCTGAGCTGCCGGGTGGCAGCAGAGCTGGTGTAACTCGGAGCTGCAGAGGGTGCGTGTGTGTCTGTGCAGAAAGATGCACAGGGCTGGTACTCGGGAGTAGCTGCAGGCTCATTTTACTCATGATACAAGAGATTTTACCAATCAGGGGCTCTAAAACTTCTATTGCATTCTTAAAATTCCTTTGCTCAACTGGGGGCTTTCTTCTTTTCCTGTGCGGAGCATAGTTCAAGTTATTTTGTTAGATATATTGCTCAGTGTTTTGATACTCTCCAACTAGACAAATGGACTGAAAAGCCAGCTTTTGGAACGCCTTTGGAAGAGCATCTCAAACGCAGCGGTCGTGAAATTGCAGTCCCTATCGAAGCCTGTGTGATGATGCTTTTGGAAACAGGAATGAAAGAGGAGGTAGGCAGTACCCTTCCACGCCCTGGGAATGAAGGGGAAAAAGGAGCCTGGTGAGGCTAACAGACTGGTGTCTGTGTTTATCTCTGTATACTTTAGCAAAGTGCCTAATGATTTTCCTGTGTTACTGTATATCATAAAACTCTTAGAAGCCTTGGACACTATTTGAAATACCTCTGAGATGTAGTACAGCCAGAATGAAAAAGCAAGACGGGCTAGGGCAGGAGGGGCCTGAAGAGTTATTCAATAGCTGGAATACACGAAGAGCTAACTTGGTCATAACCAAGTATGATTATACTGAAATTGAAACTGCTCTGAAAAGAGGCTGATACAACTTTTGCTATTTCATGCTTGTAATAACATGTTGGTATCAGTCAAAGACATCTGATGCTTATTATGCAGGGCTTATTCAGAATCGCTGCTGGAGCCTCCAAATTAAAAAAACTGAAAGCTGCCTTGGACTGTTCAACTTCCCAGCTCGATGAGTTTTATTCTGACCCTCACGCCGTTGCAGGTATTGTCAATGCTCTGACTCAAACCCTGATATAAGTTGATGCAATGGAAGCTTATTCTGTTGGTTCAGTGATTGAGGTGCTGCTCTCTGCACGAGTAAACTGTAAATGAAAGTGAATTGCAGCTGGCTGCACTGCAGAACCTCGCACAGATCAAGCACAGAGCGTGCATACTGATCACACTCAGTATTTATCCCTGCAGGTCAGAGCTGTGTTTAAAATTCAGGTGATCATGGTAATTCCAATATCGTATTTCTTCTCATGACAGGAGTGTTAACACAATCAAGGGAGATTGAAACCATCTGTAGCTTTAACGTGTCTCTCCTACAGAGGGATGACTCAAAGTTTTATAGCATGAGTTTCACATTACAGCAATTGCCAGATGACTTCTTGTGTTAAGTGCTGAGCAGATATACTGCAGGCATGTCAAGTCTTCCTACTGTTTCACTGCAATTTAGGCCCTGTTGCACAGATAAAATGGCCAGTCTAAGGCCAGAGTTTTAAAGGAAATCTGAAAGTGTTGGCTAAGAAGTTTGTATTTTTCTGGGCTACGTTGCAGGTGCCTTAAAATCCTATTTGCGAGAGCTGCCAGAGCCTTTAATGACATATGGTTTATATGAAGAATGGACACAAGCCGCAAAGTGAGTGTACTAAAAATGCATGTACAGAAAATATTGCACTTTTTAATCAAATTCCCTTATGTATGGATTTAAAAGAAAAGTCCAGACTCACACAGTTGAATTTTCTGGTTGAACTAGTGGATATCTTGTGTACTGTATTATTTTAAATTGTGTCATAACTTTACAGTGATTGTATTAAAACATATTGGTGAAACCCCTTACAGTTTTATGCTTAAACACAAGGGCTATTTCAGGCTATTGGCCTCATAGTATTGATGCTGTAAGCAGCCTTTTTTAATGGAAAATTAATTTGGGAATTTGAAAAGTAGGTTTGAGTACCTTTCCATTTAGTCCAAATAAATATACTATTTAGCATCAGTTAATTCAGTCCTTGCTCGTGGAAGAAACAATCATTTTCTGATCTGAAAGTATGATTTACTGGAAATGTCTTTTCCCTGCAGTATTCAGGACCAGGATAAGAAGCTACAAGAATTGTGGAAAATTTGTAACAGATTGCCTAAGCATTACCATGCCAATTTCAGGTATGAATGAGCAGCTGCTGGCATCCAGCAGAGCAGCATTAATGCTAGAGCATCCCCTGTCGTGGAGCTGATCAAGCAAAACTCTCATCCAGTTTTTTTCTTGGCCATGTTCCATTCGGGTGTTCTGTTTTATCTATCAAGTAACTGGCATGCTTTGGTGGGGTGACTGATATATATATAATATATATTTTAAATCGGGTTAATTCGTTACTGACTGTAAAAAAAAAATAATGCTCGGAATTCTGCCACTTATACTGTCAACACTATGACATTTTTCATGACTTTTCACCTGCTAGCCTCTTGCTTTTTAGGCTTAAAAATATCACCTGGATGCATCTTATGCATTTTATTTTTTCCTTTGGGCTTTACCTTTTGGGAATGAAACAGAATAAAAATCTGACCCTTAATTAAAACTGTGGAAATTCCATTAAATGACATGAAAACAGATGTTGGTAGGCATTCTCTATCTAAATATTTTTTTCTGAAAGTCTGTGCTGCTTGAATTAAAAGCGTAGTAGGCAACTGCTGAGTAAAAGATCTCTTAGTCTTTTGTGCCTTGGGAAATTGCCTTTAGGAGCTCTTGAGCTTGGCTTAGAGCATTTCTTGGTGATAGCACCTAAGTTGTAATGTCCTCTCAAATGAACAGCAGAACTATTATTTGCCATAAAAACAAATTATATCCTAATATAAGCGAAGTACTAGAATATATTGTTGTGTGGGAAAAGTTCTTGTTGCCATATTCAATGATTTCTTTCCTTTTTGTAGGTATTTAATCAAATTTTTAGCAAAGCTTGCACAAAACAGCGATGTTAACAAAATGACACCTAGCAATGTTGCAATAGTCCTGGGCCCCAACTTATTATGGGCAAAGAATGAAGGGTAAGTTGTTGTAGAAATGCCTCAAAGTAAAACGTAAGTGAAGATGTAGAGCTTCTCATCAAATTATTCTAAATCATGCAGACTATTCACAGCAGAGTGTTTGCCTAAAAAATAAATATTTTAAACATGCCTTAAAACTGTGCATCCAGATAGTCTTTAGATTTGCATCTTTTAGGACTCTCTTTAATGTTATAAGCTTTATTAAATATTCTAAATTTCATCGAAGTGTGAAGTTGCCTTTTATGTGGTATTTAAGCCTTGATACATCATACTTAGCAAAATCTGCCATTTAGGCAAGATGCAACCTTCTTATATTTTCTTATTTGGGAATTCCGTATAAACTGTTGTCTGAATTTTGTCCGCAGATCCCTTGCTGAAATGGCAGCTGCAACTTCAGTTCATGTGGTAGCAATTATTGAGCCAATTATTCAGCATGCAGACTGGTTCTTCCCTGGAGGTAAATTCTTGCTGTAGCATAAGGAATTTAGTATTTTTTTGTAGCGCTGTGAAGGTAAAACTTCAATAGTTTTTTGTGTTGAGGCTACATTTTGTGATTGCATGAGTGTTTTTTTTTTTTTTTTTTCCAGAACAAGATTTCAATGTGTCCGGGGCGTTTGTTGCAGTTCCTGCTGTTAATTCAAATCACTTGTCACACACTGGGAATGAATACGAATCTGGGACACTGGAACGGAAGAGGCCTGTTAGTATGGCTGTTATGGAAGGGGATCTGTTGAAGAAGGAAAGGTATGCTTCATTCTTGGATTCAGTTTCAAATATTAGCTCACTCCTGAGAGCTGGCCTGCTAAGGAGGTGGTAATTGGACACACTCGTATTGGTCTCAGGAGGAGAGTTCTATGGAAATAGTATAGATAACACCAGTGATTTATTTCCCCTCATGTTGTTGCAGCCTGAGGAAGGTTCAAAGGTAACGTACTGGTATTTCCTTCTGGTTATACTCAATGCATGACTAAAAAACAAGCAGATAATCACTGCTTCCAGTTACCGTCTTCCTGTTACAGATCTGGGGGTCTGAAATCCAGAGACAGAAGGGTGTTTCTAGTAACATCTATGAGTATCTAACCTCTGATGTTCCATGGCTTCTTTCCCAAGCCCATAAGCTGAGGTGGTGTTACCTGGTGCCTTCATGATAAGACTTCTGATTTGATGATGGTACAGTATACCACAGCAGATAGAATGCTTCAAAAAGTGCTGTTTTTCCATATAACATGTAGTGTAATGCTCATTTATTATCATTCATATCATGAATATTCAAGTGACATGCTGTTTTGTTTCTAGCTATTTCTGCAAATGTTAAATTGTTACCTAAATGTTAACTATGGCTAGACATGTGGATTTATCAGCACTGACAGAAGGAGGAAAAGAAAAGGGGTTCAAGGCTCACTGTCTTTAATAGAGCAGGGATAAAATTCACTCTTAGAATCCATGTGCTGTTTGCATTCTGAAATTCATGAGAATTTCAGTCTGTTTATCCATAGTTAAATAGGGGTACTTTTCTTTTTTCTGCTTTAAACAATGCAAATCATAACAGCGTACATCCAGCAGCATTATTTGATAGTCTGTCTTGAAGTCACGTACAGGGCCGTAGAGACTGTGTGTAATAAAATTAGTGTGGCAAAACATTCAAACCGGTACCTGAGGATATGTATGTATTAACATTTAAAACTGCCGACTTGTTTGACCCCATTGTCATCAATGTCTGTGTGCAGATGTAATGGAGCAGTTTGTCCCCGTCACGTTTAGCTCACCGCTCTGTGTGGATAGGAGTATCGTTGCATGTCTTAACATTTCCGGTGTTTTACGCAGAAAGCTGCAGCTTTCCTCGTTGCGGCTTTGCATGCTGAGCCCCAGGGGCCGCGTTTGTCCCCGCGGGCCGTCCCCGCGCTCGTGGCCCGGAGTCTCCCGCACGGTGTGTTGACCCTTTCTTCTCTCTGTAGCTTTGGCGCGAAGGCCGCGGAGCTGCTGGCGCCGCCGCGGCGATGTGGCACTGTAAGCAGGAAGCACACCGCCCGCGGCCCGGCGCGGCACCAAACTGAGAGTCGCTGCGGTGCCCCGTGTCACCTCCCGGAACGGGAGTGTGCGCAAAGGCACTGCGGGAGAGACCCCCCCCGGGGTGTATTGACAGCCTTAATGAGCATCCCTTGCGGAACCGATCCTCCAAAAGAGACTACTTGGATAAAAACCACGAAATGTGCTACCAAAAAACAAACAAACAAACAAAAAGCCCTCCCCTGCTGCAGTCCATGGTGACCGCTGCAGGCTGTGCCCTGGAGGTGGCCGTGCGACGCGACTGTCGGTTTTCTGCTGAAGCAAAAGCTCTCAATGTACTAGAAACCTGCTGTGCTTGTGTGGGTTCTGTACTTGTTTGGGTTCTGCACGTGTTACCTGGATTTGTGTCTTTGTCTGTAGCCAAGTGTTACTGGTGACCAGACTTTCTAGCAAGCTGGAAGTCACTTTATTACATTTCAGTAATGATTTCTTTAGCATTTGCATCTATTCAGGGTGTTTTGCTACTTAATATGGAGATGTTGTGCAGTCATATCCCAGGTGTTATAGCTGGATTCCAAGATACTTGCTGTAGATTTGTGTGCAAGGTGAAAGCAGCACGTTGCTTTCAGTAGCTAAAACTGTGTGGTCTGAGATGGGAAACCACCTGTCAGTGCATAGCAGCCTCCTGCAGAAATCAGCACCATAAAATATCACCACGGGGTTCCCCATGGACTCTTCTGCATATATCTTTGTCAGCAGACCTTTTTTGTTTTTGCAAGTGTGTCCGTGACAAAAGACCCCCATTTCTAACTTGAAAAATACTTATCAATTAGAGAACACTTCAAGCAAATGCAGGATGATATAATTTTTCTAGCTTACTTAAAACTTGTTTAAAGCTTGTTTAAAGCGCTATTAAAACTTTTTATTTCATAAGTCCAGATGATTATTTAGGGGAGCTGGCGCTTCCTGGAGGTGCAGCCCCTCATTTAGCTACTCCCTGTAGACGGTTTCCTGCAGACAGAAGGGCCCTGTCCGTGTGCAGTGACAGAAAGCAGGTCGTGTCTTCAATGGATCTGGGGGAAGTTGGTTGGTCGTGGGTTTTTCGTTTTTAATATTTTTCCTGACAGCTTTGCAGATTGCCCACACTTGGTCCTTGGTAGTTGCATATACCAGATACCTGCCAGAATATTTTTAAAAGGCTGCTATTGGGATGATAGGTATATTCAGGGGATGAACTGGAAGAATTAATTTATTGGAGCTTTCACGTTGGGAGACTTTATTTAAAGGATCTCCAAATGCACTGAGGGAAACTTTAATGTTGGGAGACTTTAAAGGATCTCCAAATGCACTGAGGGTGCTGCAGTTTGGAGACTGAACACTAGTTGAGGGTATTTTGTTCAGACAGGTGTGGTGATGATGCAATGCTGCTTCAATTCTCGATTTAATTTTTGTAAGTAATAATCTGCTGTGCAGATTTGCTTGAAGCCTACGTGGGAGCTCTTTGAGTCCTAGGAGGGTTCAGTCTGCTATCAAATATCAGCCAGTGCAGAAATTTTTCTAAAGGCCTTGAGGTTCAGAAGTAGAACATGGTTCATAATGCAAACCTTAACGGGTGCAGCTCATCTGGGCAAGGCGCTTTATGATCACTTTCTTATTTATCTATTTTAATTTTCAGTAACGCCAAACCTAAGGACTCTGCATCATCAGCTACTCCTCCACCGCTGAGAAACGGTGGGCACGCAGGCGCTGTCCAGAATCAATCAGCAAGTAGCACTAATCAGCTTGCTGTTAATCAGCCGCAGAATGCAGCAGGTCCCAGCCCCCATTCAATGAGGCGAGGTGTGTTTTTAATTCTGTTTTAAAACCACTAAGCTGCAGTTCTTTTAATGTACTGACAAAATGTTTGCTGAAGTAACTTTGCCAGTATCTCTTCT